GTTGTTATATTTTATGGTTATTGTCTCTGTTTGCATGGCAATAGCAACTCGATGGGTGGTGGACAATCCTTCAAAGGTGTGCATTGACCAGATAAAACCAACCCACCTGGGCGGCCTTGGAGATCATGATCAGAGTGGAGAATACTTTACCTTGTGTAGACTACACTAGTTCGATGTATATCTGGATGCACAGATCTTCCATATAAGTAAAGACAATGAGCTCGTGATTTACACAGCCTCTCATTCGTCAGATCGCACGGCATGGCAAGTCCACGAGCACAAGGACGTCCAATGTACTAATGATAGAAACCCAAGCACTGTCTACGATGGCGCAATGAGCGAAACATAAAAGGAGACATCCATCGCCCGCTAGGAGATCTAGAGATCTACCCGTCAAAAAAAGGGCGACGATCTCCACGTCTGCAATTCTCCTGCAAGCACGTTGTCGAACGCGAGATCAAACCGCCGGATCTCCGAGATAAGAATGCATATGCAGACACTAGCGAACGGGAACCAGGAACCTTGGAATTTAGTCCACTGTCATCCCTGGAGACTAGAAGGAATTAAGCTTCTGGATCTGCAAGGTAAATCCACTGGGTCCTGAGGGGCCCTTGTCCCACATGTGTGACTTGATGGTCATGTGTACAAAGTACAGAGTACAGAGTACAACATTTGATCGGAAGTTGTCTGCAGGTGGAGGTTGACTCCTCTTTGATGTAAACACGTGCATGGAATACCTACCTAGGTAGTCATATCACATATCACACCACGGGTACCTCGGGAATAATAAAACAAGACGGAGTACGGAGTATGGCCCGTGTGATAACCGATTGACTCTACATTTGGCTTCTCGGTGAGGATTCCCGCAGTAACCCCAGGAAGCGACACGCAGCCTCCGCAAACCGCTGTCAGCAAGGAGTGGAGAGGTGCGTCCTGAATTTTGGCGTTCCGCGAAGAGCTGCAGCGGGCAACCACTCGAGTAGTGGACGGTCGCATGATGTCGACGATCTACACATGTCCCAAACATCATGATATCTGTTGCATTTTGGGCTTTATTTTAATAGTATTCACCGTATGATGTATCGTTCTACGTGTGGAGGACAGCTGGGCAGTATGATTACTATAGTAATATTAAATATTAGTTCAATCATAAGGTTAGGGATAAACTAAGTGCTAGATACTGAAGCTCATGGTGTATCTTCGATAGTACTTGGCTGCGCCGACAATCGGGGGATCCAATGCAGTTAATCGGGTCTTGGCACTACACGGGATTGGTGCCTGACCCAAGCCGGGGGAAAGGACAAGCCCTTGAAAATCGGGTTGCACCCACCGAGATGACTATTAGGGGGCAATTGACTGGACTGTCGGGATCTGGGTGGTACTGCGGGTATTCGGATATTTCTGATTCTGGTTTTCTGCGACTATGAACATTCTGTAGCACAACTTTTTTTTTCCTTCTCTGACTAGATTTGTGTCTGGAAATGCCCCTCTACCCCTCCACCCCTCTACCCCTCTACGGAATACCCCTCAGTTGAATTGATCCGGTGGGGTAAATAGAGGGGATTAATTGATTTAACCCAAAAGCCGTAGATAAAGGAAAAATGAGTAAAAAGTGTTAGAAAGCAAAGACGATCAGATAAGCTCGGTGGGCCAAAGGTGGCAGGCTCCATTTTTTGGTCGCCGTTTATGGTATAGTGTGCACGTGACTAGGTCTGCAGCCGAGCCAATTTGCCGAAGTTGGTAGCTGGTGGCGGAGAACTCGAGTTTTTATTTGCCTCCATTCTATTTTATTTTTATTTTTATTTCTTATTTCTTATTTTATTCAATCCAACTTTATAGGATACTACCTAGGTACGGAGTACGGAGTACTTCATCGCCAATAGGTCGATCATAGTAAAAAACTGCAACTCGTCGCATCATGCATTTCTGGTTTCGAAGTCTCTTTTTCTCAGCCTCTTAGTTAAATGGGTTACATTCAATAATATCAATAAATGTTATATTTTTTTAATGTCGGAGAGGAGCGATCCGAGAATACGAATTGAACACGGAAGAGATGTTAGGAACAAGGAAGATTTAGGAAGGCAAAACGAGTTATGATTGATGGAAGGTTAAAATGTAGGTAATTCATCTGGGGGAACCAAAAGTGTGGCAGAGATAAGCCAAATTCTGTGCAAATTCTGTGACCTTAAACCATAAGATAACATTGTTCGGGCCCCGAACTTCGGACGTGCTTCCCACGGAAATCATTGGAAATCATTGGGTTTCATCTTTCTCTTGGATCTTCTCCTTCTCATTCGTGCAACCTGGTCTTCTACTATTATTGTAGGCTCTAGGCACATTCACCAACTCCCGTCCCTTTTCCCCTCCCATCACCCGGAATCTATCGTCCGACTCCGGCTTTGAATATCTTCTCCACATCTCTATATAATTGTAGAATCCTCCCCTCCATTCTCTCTCTTCTTCATCTACTCTCTAAAATCTCAATTGTCTTATACGCTGCTCTTGGGCATTTCTAATTATAATTATTTAGATCACTGCCTAGCATTGATCTACCTTCCAGCATAAAAAGCACAGTATCCACCAAAAACCCGCCGACATGAAGCAAAACCTCCCCTCCGAGCCTGAGTTCGAGCAGGCCTACAAGGGTATGTCTTTTACCTCTCTCTCTATGCCAATACCATATCACAATTTTCTCCCGACTCAATCCCTTCCCATCGGCATCTTTCCGGCTTGTGGCTCCACCGGGCATAATTTCGGGGTGACTCAGCTAACAATCCCGAAACAGAGCTCGCCTCCACCCTCGAGAACTCCACTCTTTTCGAGAAGAAGCCCGAGTACCGCAAGGCCCTTCAGGTCGTCTCCGTCCCCGAGCGTATCATTCAGTTCCGCGTTGTCTGGGAAGATGATAAAGGCCAGGTAAGACTTTTTTTTCCTTCCGAATATTCTCAAGTTGCCACAATTCTGACTTGGCCTAGGTCCAAATCAACCGCGGTTTCCGTGTCCAGTTCAACTCCGCCCTTGGCCCCTACAAGGGTGGTCTCCGTTTCCACCCCACCGTGAACCTTTCCATCCTCAAGTTCCTCGGTTTCGAGCAGATCTTCAAGAATGCCCTGACCGGCCTTAACATGGGTGGTGGTAAGGGTGGTTCCGACTTCGACCCCAAGGGCAAGACCGACAACGAGATCCGCCGCTTCTGTGTCTCCTTCATGACCGAGCTGTGCAAGCACATCGGTGCCGACACCGACGTTCCCGCCGGTGATATCGGTGTTACCGGCCGCGAGGTTGGCTTCATGTTCGGCCAGTACAAGAAGATCCGCAACCAGTGGGAGGGTGTTCTCACCGGTAAGGGTGGCAGCTGGGGTGGTTCCCTCATCCGCCCCGAGGCCACCGGCTACGGTGTCGTCTACTACGTCGAGCACATGATCAAGCACGCCTCCGGCGGCAAGGACTCCTTCGCCGGCAAGCGCGTTGCCATCTCCGGCTCCGGAAACGTCGCCCAGTACGCCGCCCTCAAGGTCATCGAGCTCGGCGGTTCCGTCGTCTCCCTCTCCGACTCCCAGGGTGCTCTCGTCATCAACGGCGAGGAGGGCTCCTTCACCGTCGAGGAGATCAACGCCATTGCCGAGATCAAGGTCGAGCGCAAGCAGATCTCTGAGATCGCCACCCAGGCCGCCTTCAGCTCTAAGTTCAAGTACATCCCCGGTGCCCGCCCCTGGACCAACATCACCGGCCGCATCGATGTCGCTCTCCCCTCTGCCACCCAGAACGAGGTTTCCGGCGACGAGGCCAAGGCTCTCATCGCCGCTGGCTGCAAGTTCATCGCTGAGGGCTCCAACATGGGTTCCACCCAGGAGGCTATCGATGTCTTCGAGGCCCACCGTGATGCCAACCCCGGTGCCGCTGCTATCTGGTACGCCCCCGGTAAGGCCGCCAACGCTGGTGGTGTTGCCGTGTCTGGTCTCGAGATGGCCCAGAACTCTGCCCGTGTCAACTGGTCCCGTGAGGAGGTTGACTCCCGTCTCAAGAAGATTATGGAGGACTGCTTCAACAACGGTCTTGCTACTGCTAAGGAGTATGTCACTCCTGCTGAGGGTGTCCTTCCTTCTCTCGTTGCTGGCTCCAACATTGCTGGTTTCACCAAGGTCGCTGAGGCCATGAAGGAGCACGGTGACTGGTGGTAAATCAGTCGCATCCCTATCTTTTTTGGTGATGTTTTGTGATGATTTCTGTCCTCTCTTGAGGAGAGGCAGCTTCGATGCATTTTCTTTTCTTTTAAAATAGCTTTTTACCCTTTTTGTCAAGCGGATTATGAATAGAGGCGCTGGTTTTTTCCACTGTTGCATTTGATTGATATCCCCACCTCAGCACCTCTGTTTGTTTTGGTTCTGCACTTGGGATTGTCATGATGATAATGAGATACAATGAATGATTTAAAAATATCTGTGTGGTCTTGTAAACTCAAGCTTGTTATCAAAGTAGTTATCGGAAGTAGTTAAACTTTTTTCTTGAGACTGAGCCCCAATACTTGCATGAAATCTTTCAGTGCTTTAATTCTATCAAAACTCATAGGAGTCCCGGATTAGGTAGATAGGTCCACTCGAGTATTATGTCTGTCTTGATTTTAACACCGTCGTAGAACCTCCCCAGGTGAATTTGAAATATGGCCTGAGGCATTCAAAACATACAAGTCACGTGCTACGCGGGCATAATTCTCTCTCACGTGATGATTACGTAATTGCTTTCACGAGCCCCGGAGCACCAACCTGAGAAAGAGCTATCCCTCACAGCCTCAAGACCAGCGATCTATTCCTCGAAAGAAAAATGCTTAGTGCGAGTCTGTGACTTGCAATCTTATTTTTACAGCTTCCGGGGTGCAGTGTTATGTTGTGGAGATGACAATGCTGCCGGACAGGGCAATTCCCGAACAATGGAGGACCTTCCTCCACCAATGTTTGGCCAATCGTATAGATATAGACGAGTTCACGGACTTGTCAGGGCTGATGTTTGCTCGCTCACCAGTGAAGGAAAACGAGCTTCTCGATCTGCTCCTTGAATCTCGCGCTTCCTCCAGCGTTACCTGGGACCCTCTTCTGCCGCTGTACGTCGATGGACTGTGCAAGGTTGGGAGGGTCAAGTCTTCATCTGCGCTGGCGAGTCTTTTAAAGCACTCTTCTATCCTTGATGTGTCGGGATCTGGTGAGAGTGAGGGTGAGGGACCGGGCTCACCATCCAAGTCCAAGAAGCAAAAGCCATCCACTCTTATGACCGATATCAAAGTTATCCAGGATGTCATGGTGTTCATTTCCACCGGGTCAATCCCCAAGACTGTCATCGAGGCTGCAGATATTTACTCTGCCACCGTAGACTGGATTTTGGCTGTCGTGTCGTGGCACACTCGCTGCATGGACCCCTCGCAGCAAACAGGTGGCTTGATGGGGTCGCCTGATGCAGTGTCATTGTTCGAGTCGCTTGGAATTCTGCTTGCAGCTTTGTCTGGGACTAGCAAAGGACTGGAAGTGCTGTCCAGTGACTACAATCAAGGTAAATCTACTTAGTCTCCGTGCTTGGGGATGATATTACCCTATTCATTGAACATCTATTAACAATTTCCCCTAGAATTGAAAGCGAAATTGGGAGAGGCTTTGTCGAGCTACCTGCCTCTCTGTATCGATGTCTCTTTGCCGCTTCGGCATCGTCTCGAAGAGTTACAGAAAGTGTTCAATCTTTACCCCGGTCAGCCTTCTAAGGCTTTGCATGGGGCTGCTATCGACGGCGTGAATGTCAATGCCCTCCAGTTTGAGTCTTCTGTCATGGATGGCCCAGTTGTTAACACTAGAGCTGGACTCTATGTATACATCAATTCGATGGTACGCTTTTTTTTACATTGCGATGTTAGATGCATGGCTGACTGGCAACAGGTCGTGGGTCGTCCTTTGGTCGATGATACCATTTTGATCAACTACCTCACCAATCGTTATCAGGTAAGTCTAATTAACACAATTTAGGTCTTCTTCACCCGTCAGAGTGATTCAGATCACTTTTCCCTCACTAGTCAAGAGTGGCTCAGATCATTTAACTAACCCCTTACTAGGGACACAACGACGTCCTCATCGAGGAAATCATCACAGCCGCCTTCGACGTTCTTTCCAACGGCGTATATCGCAATGAATCTGGGCGCACGATGCTCTTGTTTAGATCTTTCCTAGTTAACAAACTTCCCGCCTTCTTCGCAGCCATCTCGGCAGCATCCATGGTGCCGATCTCCATGGAAATGTGTATCAGCCACGCCTTAAGTCGTCTAGATCCGAACGCATTCCCCTCCTTCTCTCAGATGTTCTCCATGCAGGGCAGCAGTGTTTTATCAGATGCTCGCCAGGAGTTCCTCTTTGCTTGCGCATCGCACAAGCTCATACAAGAGTCCAGCATTGAACAGCTTCTCGGAGAAAACCCCATGCAGACACTGTCTGGTGGGGGCCCTTATCTCAAGGACGACCTCGTTTCACAGATCAATAACAATCATGAACGTGCTGAGCAACTTATTGGTGAGATCGAGTCGATGGAGGGTAATGCAGGCGCGATAGTCGGCGCCGTGGTCGATGTATGTTCCAGACTATCCGATATGAGTTTTCTGGGATCGTTGTAATACTAACTTTTCCAAGGTCATGCATAATCTGTGCCATCAAAAAGAGACAATGACGCTCAAGAACATCTGCAACTCGCTTTCACGCCGCCCGCAAACCTTGGACGTTATGTTGCTGTTCCGAACTACAAAGCAAGTATTGCAACCTCTTTGTACTCTCCTGGATTCGTGGAAGTGGGACGAGGATCAGGGCGAAAACCAGCCTGTTTATGATGAATTTGGCAGTATCTTGTTGCTAGTTCTCGCGTTCAAATACCGATATGACTTGAGTCCTTCTGATATGGGTATTTCGAACAACGACTCATTTTTGTTGAAACTTGTGGACCGGGGCGCTTGCAGCCAGAAGCTGAGCGACTTGAGCGAGAAGCAAAACAAAGATCTCGGCGCTTGGATAGGAGCTCTGTTCATTGCTGAGGGCATCAGTGAAGAGACCATGTCCTCTTGCAGCCCACACGAATTCTACATGCTTGTCACAACATTGTTCGATCAGAGTCTTGGTGCATGTGAGTCTGGAAAGCTGGACTTCGACACATTGAAAGGTGGATTTGAATGTAAGAACACTGTCACCCGGTCGCTTCCCACTGGATACCCAGCTAACCGCGATACAGATCTGCTTGAGCCCTTCCTCCTCCCGTCCCTAGTCGTCGCATTGACATGGCTAGGCAACCACATCTGGGAATCAGAGACCGACCCCACAATCCCCATCAAAACCCTCCACTCCCTAGTCAAACCCAGCTCAATCTCCGGCGAGGCCCAAGCCATCCACCAAACAGTCCTGAACATAACCGGCTGCCCACTAGAAGAGCAACTAAAAAACGTCCGAACAAGAAACCAGTCGCGAACAGACATCAAACCAATCCTCGACGCCCTGGAGCCATACATCTCCTTCCGCCGCGTGGGCAGCTGCCGTCGCTCCGAACTCGACACCTGGACTTCCCACTCCGCAGGCGGGCTAATAGCCAGCATCCGCACAACCCTCCAAGCCCTGGTCCTCTGGAGCGCCAATCCAGGAATCAGCATGGCCCCACACGCATACACACACCGGCAGGTGCTAGCGGGGATCCGCATGCTGGGCGCAACACGCGTTCTAGGCGCAATAATCGACGAAGTCAAGCAGCAGACCGAAGCAGGTAGCGGACATGTCGCACTGGACATTGCGACTACGATGGTATGTGCGCCGATGACGGAATCCTTCGCTGTCGACCAAAACAACTACCACCCAGTGGACACAAGCAAGGAGGCTTTGCCGCGGTGCGCAATCCTGACTCTACGCGACGCCTTGTCGCTGCAGCACGAGAACGTGCCTAAGATCTCTGAAAGTGACCCGCTGCGCGCAGAGGTCGTAGTGCGGCTTGCGCGTCGGGTTAATATGCTCATGGCGCCGCCGTCGCAGGTCTCGAATATCGATGTCTCGAATATTATCCAGAATATGCATCTTGGGGTTGAGGGGCAGGAGGATCGCATGGATCTTGAGCCCTCTGCTGCTGATGTTGCGCGTAATACGGTCAGTGAGGATGATCCGGATAATATCAATCAGATGTTGGATAAGGCGGCGGCGGATGCGGCGGCCGCTGGGATGGATGGTGATATCGGTGTAGGTCAGGATATGGGGCTTGATTCAGGGGCTGGTATGGATGCTATTGATGATGTGCTTAATGCGGCGGATATGGCGGTTGGAAATCCCGAGTTCCTTGATTTGGATATGGAAGGTATGTTTTAGTTGATGTGGTAGTTTGGTTTTTGGCATATATGGACTCACAGTGTCCAATCTTAGCATGGCATCTTGTTTAGTGAAAGGTGATTCATTTGGACGACAATCAATTTTTGGACATTATAAATCAATATCGTATGGAACTGGTTTAAGGGCATTCATTGGCAGACTTACTGCACAACCCACAAAAGAAAACAAAACAAAACAGCAACCCCATCGCCCCATAGCACATTTACTCCTATACGAAAGAGAAATATATCCGGTTGTGCTTTGGTACACCGTAATCATAAAGCACATCATCCCATTCTAAAAACGATAGGAATATATAATTAGCCAACATTGTACCACCACGATGTAAAATCATGTTACTTACAAATATCGAATGTCTTCTCAATCTTCCATGCCAGCTGTGGAACTCCCGAGCCAGGGAACAATTTCTCCACGGCCTGCATTGGGGTCGGGAGGTTTCCTCGGTTGTTGATTGGTACTGGGGTTGCTGCTACTAGAACCGAGCAGGACAGGGCGGCAATTATTGCAGTGAGTTTCATATTGGGCTGTCTTCTTGAATCGATATATAATTGATGTTGTTGACTCCAAGGTGAAAATATATATAATCCGTGGGTCTTTTAGTGATCGCCTGCACAATAGCACTAACAATCCATAAACACGTCTGAAGGTGTTACTTACTATGATGCCTGGCTAGGTATATTGGCTAATAGGTTACTTGATACTCTTGGATTGTATCAGAAGAAGAGAGAGTGCTCCATTCCAACGACGCGTGCCTGATAGCGCCTTCTTATCTACATCCCTCAGGCTAAGACCCTCATGTCAGGGAGCTTTGAAAACATGGAGCTAGCTCATTCCGATGGCTTGAAGATACTCATGGGAAAGGTTTACTTCAGCGTGAGGAATTTTGGGTACGTGACGCGTCTAGAGCGTAGGGATGGCGTTGAAGTTTGCATATACTCTACTTGACATCTGCAAGTCAGCTGTTGCAAGTTATATGACTAGTGCTGGCAACTATTGTATGAGAAATATTGGGAACACAGTGTAGAATGCACATCTCATGTTTCTGTGCATGTTATGCGGAGTATACACACATCCCTTTCAAAGACGCTGTTCAATCAAGGGATAATTCAGCCCTTGAATCCACGTCGGCAATAAAAGTCCATTACAAACCAAAAACAAAGGGGAATAAGCCGCTTATAACCGTTTATCACTATCGAATTAGAAATTTTTATCTTTGTACTTAGGTGCATACATATGGGTCCAAAGTGAGTACATGTGAGTCTGGCCCTTCATGATTCTCGCACTGAACCGTATCTATACTGCTGCCTGTGAAGCACATCAGCTCGCGACATAGGGTAAGACTAGGTAACCCCACCACACGACCCCGCTGCTCAGCATGCAAACTGATCGCTCAGAGCTTACCGTTGGTCCGAGACTACGAAGATATGATGTGATTAATACCTTCGGAGTATATTGCGAGTCTAAAGGTGGGGTTGGAAGCAGAAATTGACGCAGGGAGTGCTAATTATTGTACAAAATGTCAAGCCGTTGGACCTTTTTATGCAGCACGTAAGATGTTGACACCCGCAATGGATCTAGGCGAGCAGTTGCAAATTGCCTAATTGGGAGCCAAGGCACATATTTCCTCATTGGGAAGACCCAAAGACCGGGCTAGAATGCGATTAGATAACACCCGGGTAGATCGGGATCGTCAAGGAACCCGATTATCGGGATATATCACCCCGTACAATTTTCAAGGTTCCGGTACCTCGGCATTGCTGATTTGCTGGTCCATCTAGGGACTGGCTTTGACAGATCAATTCAGGGGAACTTCGGTACTAACGAGGCGCTCTAATCTGGAACTTAATCTTTATCCGGAAACACATAAATATAAATCCGCTAAAATGCTTGTTCGATCGCCACCTATGACGAACATTGCGTAGAAGCTTGGAGCCCCTCATACATAGTATCACTACAACATAGAAATTCCTAGTTGATAGTACCCACCTAGAGACTCCATGTAGAGGTGGGAACAATGGATTGCTAATACATCATACACTAGTAAGCGAGGTATAACATGCACCATAATTGGTTTGCGCAGTGATCTACAACATCAACCAGTAAAGCCCTAAAAGTCTCATGTATCCAACACAATAGAAGTCGGAAGAATCGGACATCTCTCCGGTTTCTAATGCTTATCTGTTGAGCAACCATTGGATAACTATGTAGGAAATAGTCGGTTCAACCCAAGATTTACCCAAAGTGGGTTTTACTAGGAACTCGGGCTCTGTGCCGGGTGTGCCAGGTCTCTTTGGATCTATTCATAGGAGTAAAACAACTGCCTCTGCATTAGCAGAAATAATAAACAAATTAAATTTGTTTCAGCCAATGATAGGCCACTATACAATGCCAGCTTTCCGATCTCCTATTCATTCGGATATGGAGTCGGCACATATAAATGACTCGCCTACTCGCCCCTTTGTAGAATCGTTTAGGATAAATATGCTACTCCTCCCAACTTAAATAATTTTTGATTCTATAATAGTTTTTTTCCCTTCTTTGATCAATCTCCACTCTTTCAAAGCCTCCTATCATGGAGCAGCATCTCGGCCTCGATGATGCCTCGCTGCACAGCGAATACCGCACCGAGGACGAAGATGATAACCAAAATCTCGACAACTCGCCTGTTCACAAGCTCAACACCCACGATTTTACTAGTGTAGAGACCCTACATGCACCGCAAGCCAACATCCACGAGGCAAAGAGTACCGAGACTCTGAGTGTCCCCAATGCCGAGACTTCCCTACCCCCGAAGAAGGCTGCCGAGTGGAGCATGACACCGGAAGTGATCCGGAACGCAGAACGTGATGAAGCAGCCGGATTCAAGAGGCGCGAGCTAGGTGTTACATGGCAAAATCTAACCGTCGATGTCCTTGCTGCCGAAGCCGCCGTCAACGAAAACATGATCTCGCAATTCAACATTCCCCAATTGATTAAAGATTTCCGCCGAAAGCCACCCCTCAAATCGATTTTGTCAGACAGCCATGGATGCGTCAAACCCGGAGAAATGTTGCTTGTGTTGGGCCGCCCTGGTTCAGGATGCACCACGCTGCTCAAGCTGCTATCAAATCGCCGCCAAGGTTATCACACCGTCAACGGTGATGTTCGTTTCGGAAACATGTCCCCCAAAGAAGCCGACAGCTACAATGGCCAGATTGTGATGAACACAGAAGAAGAGCTGTTCTATCCCCGCTTGACAGTCGGCCAGACTATGGACTTCGCTGCCAGGCTCAAGGTTCCTTTCCATCTACCAGATGGAGCCCAAAGTATCGATGAATACACAGCCGAGACGAAGGAGTTTCTTCTGAAGTCTATGGGAATCACTCATACGGCTGATACCAAGGTTGGAAATGAGTTCGTTCGTGGTGTATCCGGTGGTGAGCGGAAGCGGGTCTCTATTATCGAGTGCCTCGCGACAAGAGGGTCTATCTACTCCTGGGATAACAGTACCCGTGGTTTAGATGCCAGTACCGCATTGGAGTGGGCCAAGGCCCTTCGTGCTATGACTGATGTTCTGGGCCTCTCCACCATTGTGACCCTGTATCAAGCTGGAAATGGAATTTACAATCTCTTCGACAAGGTCCTTGTCCTTGACGAGGGAAAGCAAATCTACTATGGCCCTGCAGCTGCAGCTAAGCCTTTCATGGAAGATCTAGGCTTCGTGTATACTGACGGAGCAAACGTTGGTAAGTGCCTCCTATATTTGACAAACAAATCTGATATCAACTAACACAATACGATAGGTGATTTCCTCACTGGTTTGACAGTCCCAACAGAGCGGAAAATTAGACCTGGATGCGAAAACACATTCCCTAGAAGCGCCGATGCCATTTTGGCTGAATACAAAAAGTCCAGCACCTATCACCGGATGATCTCAACATATGACTATCCCGACTCCGAACTCAGCCGTGAGCGCACAGCTGCATTCAAAGAGTCCGTTGCGTGGGAAAAGTCTAGCCACCTACCTAAGGGTAGTAGTCTCACTACTAGCTTTTGGGCTCAGCTCGTTGCATGCACCAGGCGACAATATCAGATTTTGTGGGGTGAAAAGTCAACTTTTATCACCAAACAGGTTCTGTCATGTGCGATGGCGTTGATTGCTGGTTCTTGCTTCTATGACTCGCCGGATACCTCCGAAGGTCTCTTCACCAAAGGTGGTGCTGTCTTCTTCTCGCTGTTGTACAACTGCATCGTTGCTATGTCTGAGGTCACTGAATCTTTCAAAGGCCGTCCAGTTTTGATTAAACACAAGGACTTTGCTATGTACCACCCGGCTGCATTTTGCCTGGCTCAGATCATGGCGGATTTCCCGGTTCTGTTGTTCCAGTGCTCTATCTTCTCGGTCGTGATCTATTGGATGTCTGGCCTGAAACATACTGCCGCTGCTTTCTTTACCTTCTGGATTATTCTGTTCACGACAATTCTGGTAAGTAGTCGTTCTCATTCGATTCTGCCAGGTCATCGACTTTGGACTAACTCTTATGTCTTTAGTGCATTACTGCTCTCTTTAGATTTATCGGATCCGCTTTCAGTACCTTCGAAGCCGCGTCGAAGATCTCAGGAACTGCAGTCAAAGGCATTGTCATGTACGCTGGTTACATGATTCCCAAGCCCCAGATGAAGAACTGGTTCCTTGAACTGTACTACACAAATCCCTTTGCCTATGCCTTCCAGGCGGCCTTATCGAACGAGTTCCATGACCGCCACATTCCTTGTGTTGGTAAAAATCTGATCCCAAGTGGCCCTGGCTACGAGAACATCGGAGCCGAGAACCAAGCTTGTGCGGGTGTTGGTGGTGCCTTGCCAGGCGCAAACTATGTGACTGGTGATCAGTATCTTGGTTCACTTCACTACAAACACTCCCAACTGTGGCGCAACTTCGGTGTCGTCTGGGGCTGGTGGGGATTCTTCGCCATCCTGACGATTGTTTTCACATCCTT